GCCGACCACCACATCTACTTGGAGGGCGCCGTGTTGAAGCCGAACATGGTCAAGAATGGTCTGAAAGGGCCTAAGGCAGACGCTGAGACCATTGCAAAGCTCACAGTGCAGACGCTCTTGCGCACGGTGCCGGTGGCCATGCCGGGCATCTTCTTCCTTTCCGGCGAGACGGCGCTCAACGAGGACAATGAGGAGGAGGCCACCGTCAATCTCAGTACCATGCACAAGCTCTACCCGAACCTTCCCTGGCATCTCTCCTTCTCCTACGGCAAGGCATTGCAGAAGACGTGCATCGTCACTTGGTTGGGCAAGCCGGAAAACAAGGCGGCGGCGCAGAAAGCACTCAAGGCCCGTTCGAATGCAAACATGGATGCCGTCTTCGGGAAGTATGTGAAAGGAAGTTGCGCGAGCGTGGGCACGGACGGCAATGTAATGCAGGCTGCCGGACCGTACTAGTTCATCGCTCAAGCCGATTTCCCGTGTCCAAGATTTTCCTTCGCGTAACCAGCACGAAGCGTCCGTTTTCACGGAATTTGTATAGCAAATCGTTTGTCGTCTTCTGTTCAGCCCGAAGCGCTTGAACGGAGACTCGAGGGGTGTGTTTGCTGCTGTCTTGACAAGTGACCAGCAAAGAGCGAGTCGAAAGCGATGGCCCTTTGGGCGACGAGCTGAATGTAGACCCTCTGAGCGGTGCTAAACCGTGCGTCTGTGCATTTTTTTGAGCCCTCAGTTCCCCTCTGGCGCCAGGCTTCGCTCGATGTGGCCATTTCTGAAGTCGCACTTGCGCCATTCGGAGTCGCAACTGCCGGGCACACTTGAATATGCAAGCCAAGAATCCAGCCAGACCCATATGGCCCCTATGCAGCATGCATCCAGCTTCTACGTGGGACCAGTGGAGGCTTCAGAACCCTGGACGCTGCAGGCTTCGTGACTGAAGGGCCTCACCACCTGAGCCATGCGATATGTAGATCATGGAGTTTTCGGGCAACCTGCCCCTCTAACCGAAACGAACCACAACGACTACCCGACCACCTCCCGTCGCAGGCCCCAGTGTTTTGACAAGGCCAATGCTGTGACTCTATACTGTTATATAATGTTGAAATCTGATGCTTTTTGGATGTGCGAGCCTGCACGGCGGCCAAGATGAGCCAAGCTCGCAACTGTGCCCTGCGAGGCGTCGGCATGATGTAGGTGAGTTGCGAGCAGTGCTGGCAGAATGCTTGGTACTTCGGCTTGCTTGCAAGGCCATCAGGCCAGAAACTGTCGGAACAGGCAAACCTGCATGTGGAAGCTTATGCCGAGTAATTGCTACTGAAACCTCGCCTGACTCTGTCGAGAGCGAGTGCCAAAAACAGCCGCCGTCAACGACTTGGCCGCGATCAACAAAAGGCTATGTTTCAGCTCTGGTTTCAGCAGTTTCAGCATGGTTCATGCATCTTTTGTTAGGACGGCTCTAGATAGAATTGTTTTGCCACAAAGCTAGCATAAATTAGAAGCATGTGCGACAGGGCGTGTTGGCAAATGCTGCCCCAAATTTGCCTGACTCTCCGGGAGGTGCTTGGTTGCAGTCAGTGATTGTGCTAATGTCGCGCCACTTGCAAGCACATGCTTGACAACTATATTCAAAAATAATCGCTCGATTTTGTGGACTTGGTGTTGCGACTTTTTTCACGAAGATCGTATAGCTGCCGTAGCTGTTGCTCAAGAGAGGGCAGGTTGCCCTTTGGTCTCCCTTAGCCTTAGCCAAGCTTCCTTTGCAAGCCATGTCTTTCTGGGAAATTCCGGGCATGAAGGTGCAGATTCCAAAAGGGCAAGACGATTAATATGTTTTTTGTTTCATGTTTCTTGGGACTTCGCAACATGGTACGAAGGCAGGCAGGATCATCGGTCCGCTACATAATAGGGGACTGCTATTTGGGACTATCCCACCTACCTTCATCACATCCTTGCTGCTGCTGCTGCTGCTGTAACCTGGCTCCCGGCTGCAAGGCTGGTGTACTCACCGGTGATTTGGCTTGGTCGCTGGTGGAGCATGATACTCGGCTGCCTGTCTGGGGTACCTTGCACTGTAAGAGACTTTGAGTGCAGAGTTGACTGAATTACATGAGTGGACATCTTGTAAGTATCTGGTATATGTTGGTTCTGTATCTACATGGTTGCATGCTCGTAGATTCGTAGATGCTGATTTGTGCGCTTGGTGGTATTCTTAAACAGTGCATATCGCTCCACATCTCTCTGTATACACATACCCATGCAGGCATGTCTAAACCAGGCGAAGAAGTACGGGTATGCCCTCGCAGCGGTCACCTGCACAAGTACGAGCGCGATCGACTCCGTCCTTGCAGCCGCGAGGGAGCCCAACACACGCTAACCGTCACTAACCTGGCTGCTTTGGTAACTTGCTTTGGGTTGGTCTTCCTGAGCCCAGGCTAGGTAGGACGTTTCCAGCTTCTTCCCAGTGTGAAGTAACCGATAGGCGAGAGAGCCATACATGTCTCATGCAGGAGCTCAACCGGCCTGCTGTTATTCAGTTCTCCGAGGGCGGTTCTGCCTTCATCGCCCCTCGGATCAGGAGAGTCTCCTGTGATCGTGAAGACACAAGCGGTCGCAGCATCCCGAGCTGCCAACATCTGCCGACCCAGGCTGGAAAGTCACTGCCCAACGAACAGGGTGTGAACCAGGTGGCCTTTTGGATACTTTGTCTTGTGAGATCGCTTGCATCATAGCATCAGGCCCTTTTGTAGACTTGCGTCCTACCAACGCCAGACGTGTAGCTCCGACGAGCATGACGGCATTATATGTAAACCGCCAGCCGGCTGCATCTGAAGGCCTCCATTCTCGGTGCTGTGGCTGGCGCACATTTTGTCCGCGCTGTGGCGCCCGCATATGGCCGCTGGGCGGGAGCTTGCACATGCTTGTCATGGAACTTCTGGTTAGACGATGATGGAACATGCCCCGGAGTTTCAGCTGTGTCAGCCGTCCTGGCTTCGGGAGTGACATGTTCAGTCATGAGTCTGAGTCGGATGCGTAAGGGTGTGCACTTTAGACCTGTAGGGACCCAGCTGACACATGTCGCGGCCACTTCCTTTGCAAGGTATTCCTGTGCTGATCAATACTGGATATTGCGGAAAGCAGCTGTGCCTCGGCTAAGTGTTGGAGGGTCGACAGCTCCCGAAGGTTAGGCCCACGGGCTTCAGGCTTAGACCGATTCGGCTTTTTGTGAAGCAGCATTGGGGGGGTAGCCCCTCATTTTATCTCCGGGCTGAGTTGCGTCGGCTTCCCATGCTGAGAAAGTTTCGATCTGTTCAGACGCTGCTTTGCAGGCTCCCTTGGTTTGACGGCATGCTCGAATCTGACGAGGCATACTTCAAGCCACTCGGCGGCATTTTGCGAGGCTGTTGCAAGACGAGTCTCCCGAGAGAGTGCTTCCAGGAAGCAGGTCTCGAGTGTCTGACGATGATAGGCAAGAGCATCATGGCACCGCGGCCACCATCCCCCAAATTCGCCCAGCGAAGATGCAAGCCTGTGGAATCATCACCGTGTCCTGCGTAAGCGACAGTCCGAATCCGATGTTGGGATCGCTTGCTCCACTGACATAGCCAGCATAGTCTGAAGTGTTTCGAGTTTCGGTCATGGCCCACGAGTCGGCAAGGCAGTATGGAGAGACGCTCTTTTCCATGCACTCCCTCGACTTCTCCCAGGCCCCTGCCCGTGCCGGAGAGAGGAGCGACGCATGAAACCTGTCGACAGGAGCCGGATGCCGAGAACATCGAGCTCTGCAAGACGTATTTCAAACGCATGTCGTCCGTGAACCAGATTCTGGAGATGGGGCCGCTCGGCCACCACAAAGCATTTGAGTGTGGCGTCGGCACCGGTTGGCGGATCTGCAGTCCTTCGCATCCACGAACGGGGGGATGGCGAAGGATCAGAGTCGGCTTGTCGTGGAAACGAAAACTGCCGGCACGTGCCCTTCAACTACTAGAGGCGATACATCTACAACTCCCTACAGTCTGGCATGCTTAAACGCAACTCCTGGGAGTCCGTCAAGTGTACCGATGTCGTACAGTTTGATGTTCTATATGCCTGGTAGGTTTCAACTTTCGTTTAATCTGGAAGCTCGATGGCATGCTTGTTCGCGGGAACCTGCCGGTATCATGCGTTCTGCCATCGATCTCTTCTTCCCGGATTTTCGACATGTAACAAGGCAGCGAGGACTCGCACGCACCGCGCGTCGTTTTACTCCAAGAGTGCTTGGCCGAGTTAGATCTGCAGGCTTTTGCGTTAGCTGAAAAGCCCTGCTAATCAGGATTGGCATCACCAGTGGCAGCAGCATCTTCAAGGCAGGGTCCAGGATGTTGGGGGAATGTTGGGGAGCACAGATGGTGCGTGAGGGAGGGCCTCAGGGCCTCAGCAGAACTTGCAGGGTCCCTGAAATCCCCTTAATGTGAGTGCCGCTAGCGTTCCTCCCAGGTGTACCAGGGCCTAAGTCCCATCTCAGAGAAGTTCACCATCGCAGCAGCTTGCAAGGCAGGGAGAAGATCGAATTCCGGCAGTATGCTGGTTTTAGGTTTTGAGTGCATGCCCGAGTTGAGAGAACTCCCGCACCGAAGCATACCGAAGCAAGAAAGAACGAGTTTACATGTTGCATAATTAAAGGGGCATAAATGCCTCAAACACAGGGGTGCCCGACTCGAGTGGCCCAGGTCTGAGCACTGAACCGGCCCGGTGATTTTGGCCTAGTTTTTGGAGGAGTGAACCCCCAGTTGGCGGAAGCAACATCCCACATACTGACGGAGAGCTGGATCTACGTTGCGGAACATATCCCTAGCTGCGCGAGTGCCACAGTGGCATGATGATTTATTTGCAACACGGCCTTGTGCATCAGGGCAGCCTCTGCGATGGACCATACGACAGCACGCAAGGACTGTCAGGGAGATCACGAAAGAAGGGAAGTCAGAATAGGGAAGCCAGGAACAAGAGCAGCAGTTTGAATGCTCTCGAGCATTCGGAGCACCAGCGCACAGCCCTACCAGGGCGACAGACTTTGAGCCTACGGCAAGAAAGAGCGGGAGAAATGGACGATATTACTGTGCAAAGGACCGCGCAACCGGCGGAAGCATTCCGTGAGCCCAGACGCAGACCACGGGAGTCCGATATCAGCTGTTGTGCGGAGCATTTTTTGTGTTGATTGAAACATCCGACAATAAACAGAACTTCCATGCGGATTCCAAGGGTTTGCGCTTGCCCGCCTGCACGGAAGGCGATATACGCCAGCCAAGAAAGGAAAAATCGCATGGGACAGCACACTGCGGCAGAGGGGAGCAGAAAAAACACAGACCCGAGTGACCCGAGCTCCACGACGTTCTCCACGACACCTTGGAGTCTGCAAAGCTTGTACTGAGAACAGACGGACCATCGTGCACACCTCAATGATGGATAGACTGAGCTTTGTTTCCCCCATCAGGCCGGCAGCGTCGTGAAGCCGGAGATGCCCCTGGACAGAAAAAATCATGCATATAGTGAGAAGAATATTGCAAGGGGCAGAGTAGGTAGACTTCAGGCGAAGACTGTGCAGGGATATGAGCTGCTTCTGTGTCCTGAGTCCGGCCTTCACTCAGTACGACAGCCAGTGGCACTGAGGTTGAAGGACATGCAGGCGCATGCCCGCGAGCAAATCAAGGCTCGTCACGCCACAGCTGGCTGCCTTCATTTCACATCATCTCGGATGGAGGAGGCGTGGCCTTCCAAGAATTTCCAACCGAGGCAGCAACCGGCAAAGACATCCAGAAGCCGCTTAGCTTCGTGCCCAATCTGAAGTTAGTTTCCGCAAAAGTCGGAGTTGAAGCTGCGGAGTTTTCTGCAGTGGCTGCGCAATTGTTCGCAAGGGTGCCCGACATGCTCAGCAATTGCCTGTAGACTGCGCGCCTCGCCAACTGCACCCCTGCCCCGAAGCCTGACCACAAACCGCAACATGAGTATGGTCAGCAAGTATAGGGCCTGTTTTCTTCTGTTTTCTTCAAGAAGCACCTGGAGTATCTTACCGGACCTACTCTCAAGACATGTGGCGGCCCAAGGCTTTTGTTCAGGCGCAGTCTCGCCCCACCGTCCGGCCAAGGTAGTGGGGTCGGGCTTCGAGAAGGAGAAAATCACAGGAGCCCTTGCTGCCGGTGTCGTGCTCCTGAGCTGCAGCTTTGGGCTGGTTTGGGCCGTAACTTGCTTAGGGAAAAGGACATGGAGAACTCAGACCAGGGCCTCTCCGTGCGCTTAGGAAGATGAACGTTGATATGGACGCCCAGGGCGCATGCTGGGAAGGCCGGGGGCTGTGCAAATCTCTCTTGAACCGGTTGGGCTCACAAGTTTATCGTAACTGGCCCGATACAGTAATGTTTTGACTTTGTGAAACCCCAGGCCTCCAGAAGTTCTACAAGGCCCAGGACGGCAGCCCACAGGCCGAAGACAAGCCGCTGAAGTGTCTGAACTGCACTAGCTAAAGACGGAGGTGTTGGTTTTTGACTCAGCAAAGGAGAGATTGCGGCGTGTCGACGGTACTAATTATGACATCGGTATGCCTTTAGCAGAGCTTGTTTGCCATAATGTCTGAACGAGAGCAAGGTACTATGGCCGAATTTCACTCCCGCCCAACTTGCCCGCGGATGTCTTGGCTGAGCTCAAGGAGACTGCCACGAAGCTTTGCGCACCAGGCAAGGGCTTCTTAGCCGCCGACGAGTCAGCCGGACCATGGCTCCGTGCCGGCCATGCAGAGGCCGCGAAGATCCCGGATGTGATTGAGAACAGGGCCGCCTACCGATCCATGTGCTTCTCCACACCAGGGCTCAGCGAGTACATCAGTGGCGTCATCCTCCACTGGGAGACCCTCTTCCAGGACGATGCCGATGGCAAGTCGATGGTGGACATCATCACTGGCAACGGCATGATCCCCGGTATCAAGGTGGACAAGGCTTACGACAAGAAGGGTATGTGGGGCACCGAGGTTGGACCTTTGGGACATCCGGAGGTGTCGACCAAAGGCTTGGACGACCTTCAAGAGCGTTGTGCGCAGGCGTACAAGAAGGGGGCACGCTTCGCCAAATGGCGCAATGT